GGATTGTGGATTGTGCTCCCACCCCATCCGGCGCCGGGTGCCGCCCAGGGCAGCCCTTTCCCACGCGGCGTGCTTGGGGCAGGGGGTTTTGCGCCAGAGGGCTTTCGGCAGCCCGGCTTGGGCTTGCCACTGCACCCGGCCCCCGTTGCAGCTCGGCGGGCGGCCGGGGAAGCCTCCTTCCCCGGGAACGAATCATGCCGTCGCAGCCATCTGTTCCTCGGGCTCGGGCCTGGGCTCCCTGGAGGAATTACGACACCAGCCTGTTTTTACTGGCAGTGAGAACTGCCGAGCAGAGCTGCGTCGCTGCTCGGGAGCAAACCCGCAGCGCCTCGAGGAGGTGGCTGCCAGGGCGGCTGTGGGCCCTCGGGGGGCGAAGGGAGCTTCCCCAGGGATCGCTCCTGGTGGAGAGCTGGGTGGGGTGACGGGGACCCGTGGGCCTCCTTTGCCGGCTGGCCGGGGATGGGAGCGAGGGCACGAGCCTGCTGGCAGTGGGGTGGTAGCGATGCCCTGGGTTGGGGATACTGGGGGCCGTGGGGGGGACGCCCAGGTGCAGGCAGCCGGCCCAGAGGGCAGCTCTTCCTTGCTGACAGCTCAGGTGCTGCTCTGGCCCCGGCGTTGCCTGGGCTGGTGGCGGTGCTCCCGCTGCTGGGGTGCCTGGGCTGCCTGAGCTGAGGGTGATGGGGGTGAGGGTCTCACGGAGTGTCCATCCCCCGGCCCCCCCCCCCGCAGGCCCCCAGCGAGTACGAGACCAGCCCCGACCAGCTCTTCTACCGCATTGCCCACCTGAACCGTGGGCAGCAGTACATGCTGTGGGTGGCCGCCGTCACCTCTGCTGGCCGTGGCAACATCAGCGAGAAAGTCACCATCGAGCCTGCTGGGATGGGTATGGCGGGGGCTGCCGGCTCGCAGGGGGACGCGCACCCTGGCTCTGCTGTCCCCTGCCCCCCCCGGGGTTGCTTTGGCTGCTCCGTATCAGCCTGCGGCAAGGGACAGCTGGGGCGACTCGCGCCCGGGGCAGAGGAGGGGCAGCACGGGCGGTCGCAGCTCTCATTACATGTCGGGGGGTCCGCGCATGGGGCCTGCTTGCCAAGCTGACCTCCTCCTTGCCCCCAAGCCCCTGCCAAGATCATCTCCTTCGGAGGCACCGTCACCACCCCATGGATGAAGGACGTGAGGCTGCCGTGCAACTCTGTTGGGGAGCCAGTCCCCGCCATCAAGTGGACCAAGGACAGGTACCGAGGGGGCTGCTGGCCGTGCCGCAGCCTGGGCCGGGGGGCCGGTGCCGGCTGCGTCGCTCTTGCTGTGTCGCGAGTGGCTGATGCGCCCTCTCCTCTCCTGGCAGCGAGGACTCGGCCATCCCTGTGACGTTGGATGGCCATCGCCTGATCCAGGCCAACGGCACGCTGGTGCTGCGCTCGGTGAAAGCGGAGGACTCCGGCTACTACACCTGCACCGCCACCAACACCTGGGGCTTCGACACCATTATCATCAACCTGCTGGTGCAAGGTGAGGGGCGCTGGCGGGGGGTGGCCTGCGGTCCCACGTCTGCATCCAGGAGCCAGTGCCCTGCACGGGCACGCTCCGCCTCGGCAGGCGGGGCGGGCCCCC